GTTTTTGCTATAGGGCTAGGGCATATGCACTCGCCAAAAAGACAGAGAGACAGAAAGCGAGAAATCACCCCCCAGGGGGGATGGCCACACTGCAATTCCTTCTCCATTCTCCTCTCGGGATCTTGGGCACGCACACACACGCGTCCAGTGTGAGTTTAAGCCGCCGGGTCCGGGACTTGAATCATGGTCAACTACATGGGAGTCCAGCGACATAGCCATTATGCCAACTGTTTGTTGGTCTCTAATTTGCCCATATTTTAACTGGGTTGGTCTTTATTTCTTTATTTATTCATTTTGTTGTGCAGAAGCTTTTTAACCTGTTGTAATCACACTTGTCTATCTTTGGTAATATTGCCTGTGCTTTAGGGGTCTTATTTAAGAAGTCTTTGCCTGCTCCAGTGATTCCAAGAGTTTCCCCTGCGTTTTCCACCAGTAGTTTTATAATACACATTTTCTATGAACTTTTTGAAGACCCCTCATAGAAGCTGAAAATCAAGTCTGTGCTGGTCAAGTAAGCCGTTTCTTTTTTTTAAGTTTCTTATTCTTGATCTTTTTAACAAGAAAATGCATTAACACTCCAGCCTTGGGTTTTGTATGCAGGTATACTCGAAGCAGAAAGCAAAGCCAGGCCGTTTTAGTGCCCTTGGAATTCCTTGGGCAGTAGTGTGAAAGCTTTGATTTCACTCTTTTCACCATTGCTTACATTCTAGAAAATGAAGAAGTCAAGGAAACGACTTTACGTGAGCTCAAGATGCTTCGCACTCTCAAGCAGGAAAACATTGTGGAGCTGAAGGAAGCCTTTCGTCGGAGGGGAAAATTGTACTTGGTGTTTGAGTATGTTGAAAAAGTAAGTCATTAATTACCAAAATGCATGTTTGTTGGATCCCTTTATTTAGGGCTCTCTCTGACATCACTAAAGAAAGTATTGTTACCTAGTACAACTAGTTAATGTACTTATAATCTGAAGGCTTTAAAAATGAAAATACTGAACTGGCCTTGTGGCCTCGTGGTTAAGGGAGCCAGATCCCACATGGCCAACTGCAGTTTGAACCAGCTTCGGCAGCTTGAAAACATGCTGGGGATGTGTGCATGTGCACCCAAATTCCAGCAAGATGGAGAAGTGGAGACGGAGTTGCAGCATGACGACACCCCAATAGGGGGTGCTTTCTCCTTTTCCTTCTCCATCTCTCTGGAGAGTGCACTTGCCCTCTAGCAATTAAAAAGAAAGAAAAAAAGAAACCATTCATGAGAGGTCACATTAAGAAACAAAACAAATAAAGGTATTATCTATAATCAGCAGAAGTCCTGAAATATATTTAAGAATTTTAGGGACCAGCAGTTAGCATAATGGCTATGTTGCTGGACTCCCACGTAGTTGACCGTGGTTCGTGTCCCGGACTCGGTGGCTTAAAACTCACGCTGGGCGTGTGTGCGTGCATGCCCAAGATCCCGAGAGGAGAATGGAGGAGAAGGGATTGCAGCATGGCCATCCCCTCTGGGGGGTGATTTCTCGCTTTCTGTCTCTCTGTCTGTCTCTCTCTCTGGTGAGCGCATGTGCCCTATAGCAAAAACCTCTCAAAAAAAAAAAAAAAAAGAATTTTGTATAGTTTAACTATATAGAGATAATCTCAAGTTTAAACAGTACACTGATTTAACTTCCAAAGTCTTAGAATTTATGTGCAACAAGTAACTTTAGATTTGGTTTATTTGAATCGAAGCCTAAACAAGGCACCTGAGGGAGAAACAGGAAAGCAGCAGTGGCACAGGCTAGCCGAGGTACCTGTGAGACACCGCACAGGCACAGGCTGGGACTGAGTGTGCCCTGCGTGGTGAGTGAGCGGCTCATGAAGCAGCCTTCAGTGACTGCCAGGAGAAGGAAGGTGAGGCGTGAGACAGGAGACGAGTCGGCAAGGAAGGAGTTGAAGGCATGGGAGAAAAAAAGAACAGCGCGCGTTTGAACTGTCTGCGCATTTGCCTTGGCACTTTTATATTTGAAAGGTCAACTTATTAGTGACTGTTTAATGATGGGACTTAGGGCGAGGGTACACTACAGTACTCGGTAGTGTGAGCTGAGGAGCTCCTGCACGAGCAGCTGACCTGCGCAGGCGCTTATGTCAAGAATCCAGTAAGTGCCTTAACAAAAGTATCAGGTCGTCAGAAACGCCATGATGTATTTTTCTTTCTTGCTGATGCAATAGAATGAAACTATAGACAAATGGACCTTTTTGGAGATTTTCCTCTTGGCTAAATAGGTGGCTCCTGCTGGTTTCCTGTGCTGTTATCTAAAGAGATTGACACTGGAGAGATTATTTTTCCTTGAGGTCAGTTCTATGCCATATATGACAGTATTGCCACCATGTCATCACCAGATGGAAAGCAGTGTTGCCAAGGTAATGGACCAGTAGCATGGCTTCAGATTCACTCAGGCTTTACAAATGAGCTCGTTTATTTTGAAAGTTTGCTATAGGGCATGTGCACTCACCAGCCAGAAGGAGAAACAGCGGGGATCGCTAGGATCCCCTAGGAGAGTGGCCACTCCACAGTCCGTTCTCCTCCATTCTCTTCTTGCTATTGGGTGCATGCACCCAGTGTGTTTTTCTTTCTTTCTTCTCTTTATAAACATTTATCTAGCTATCTATTTATTTATTGTGATTTTCCAAGCCTCCAGGTCTAGGACTCGAACTGTGGTTGGTGGCCATGTGAGAATCCAACACCTTAACCATTGCTGTCCCTCTTGGAATGTTTTTCAAGCTGCCAGATCCAGGACACAAACCACGCAGTCAGCCATGTGGGTGGGATGCAGCTGCCTTAACTACCACGCCACTGGCCAGCCCATAACTTATTTTTTGAAATAAAAATTTGCATAGTAATTCCATTGTGATCAAAGCTTGAAATGTACTAGCGAGCTCTTTGTCATTTTAAACCATTGCTTTTGTATTTTTCCCAAAATCTGTCTCAAGTTTCTTTTTCTTTGTCAATTTTGGTATTCCCCTAAGGTACCTTCCCTACCAAAATAATACAGAAAGTTGGTTTAAAAAAACATATATTTTAAAAAGGATTGCTGTGTTAGGATCCCAGGGAAAATTGAGGTTCTTTATTTTTCAGTTGTCACAATAATCATGCCGTTTGCAGTTTTCACAGCCAAAGAATAAAATTTTGGGCAGATCTATTTTGGTTTACCTGAGTGTTTTCTTTTTTTTCCCCTCTGTTCCACTCATGGTGATCATTCACGATGAATAACAATTTAACACAGCACATGGAGTCATCAGCTCCACGTATCTGTTTCCCACTGGGAGAGGCGATGTGGCATGTCGGATGGCTCTCTGCTGATAACTGGCAGAATTGGTACTAGAACTTTAGTCTTCTGCCCCTAGACATGGACTTATTCCCTCTGTCCTTGTGGCTGTTTTGTGAAAGGTGACCATCATACCTTATCAACAGCAACTTTTGTTTTCAAAAACTTCACTATCTTATATGATATTTTCTTTTTATTATTATTATTTTTAGAGATATTTTTGCTATAGGGTGCATGCACTCACTGGAAAGACAGAAAGACAGAAAGTGAGAAATCATCCCCTGGGGATATGACCACACCACAGTCCCTTCTCCTCCATTCTCCTCGAGATTTTGGGCACATATGCACAACGCGTCTGGTGTGAGTTTCAAGCTGTTAAGTCCAGGATTTGAACCTCATTTGGCCATGTGGGAGTCCAGCACCTTAACCACTATGCCATCTGTTGGCCTCAGTACTACCTTTTATTAAAATAAACACATCTGTTATAAATAGGCATGGGGGTAAATGCAACGGATTCTTCACAGGTGTTCACTGCACTGGTGGGGACACAAGGTAAGAGAACAGTTGAGCAGTGGTTTCCCAACTTTTTGGTCTCAGGCCTGCTTCCTACTGTGAAAACTATTAAGAAGCCTAAGAGCTTTTGATTCATGTGGGTTGTATCTACACTGTGTTATAGTAGAAGTCAGAACTGATTAGTATAAAAATATGTACTAATTCATTTTCTTTTCTTTTCTTTTTTTTTTCTTTTTTTTTCCTATGGCGTGCGTGTGCTCACCAGAAAGACAGAGAGTGACAGAGAGATAGAAAGCGAGAAATCACCCCCCAGAGGGGATGGCCACACCACAATCCTTTCTCCTCCATTCTCCTCTCAGGATCTTGGGCATGCATGCACACGCGCCCGGCGTGAGATTTAAGCCACCGGGACCGAGACTCGAACTGTAGTCGACTACATGGGAGTGCTGCAACATAGCCATTATGCTAACTGCTGGTATCTTAAAAAGAATTACTTATTATTTGTATTTATTGTTATTATTTTAACATTTGACCAGAGAGCAGGAAAGTAAAAAAGCAAGCTGCCAGGTCTGGGACTCAAACCGCAGCCAGCCATGTGGAAATCTAGCACCTTAACCAACATGCCACGTGCTGGCCCCCGCTAATTCATTTTAAAACAACAGTAAACCCACAACATGCTAACAGGGATAAGTTTGTATGTCAGTCATGCTTTCAAGTGAAAAACGATGTGGCTAGTTCAGCTCATTCCTCCTTCACTCCAGGGCTTTTCCTCCAGCCAGCCAGCAGGCAGTTGGCACATGGGCAGCAGAAAGGCCATGTGTGTGCTCCCCATTTGATCACGTAGCTTCTTCAGAAGATATCTACTGAAAAATTGAAATGTAGTTCAAGTAATATTTTTGTTGTTTCATCAAGGACATCTTTCATGAAAACGGCCATTTTTCTTTTTTAACTATGAGGGTTAATTGGATTGAGGAATCCAATACCTTAAGTCAGTATGAGGTGGCAGCAGTTTACCCATTGTTGCTTTGTACCACCAGTGTAAATGCCAGCACAGTGAAAAAGGCAAGCGTCTGAGGGTTACAGAGTTTACTTCTGACCAATACATGGGCCTGCTGCAAGGTCTGCGAGCCCAGAGATCTGCAGGCTGCACCGGCTGACTACTGTCCTGGATGGCTGCTCGCAAAGAGTAAGCTGTGACTGTGCGGTGGGCCTTACTCGCGGCACTTTCCAGAGGCATGGAGACTAGTTACTCTGAGGATTTAGGGGAGACAGGCTAAGTGGAGTTCCTACCTAATAAAAAATGGTACATGAGTTTTAGAATGTGGTCTCTGACTCCAGATTAAGGTTTTTGAATATTGAATCTTGAATCCCGAATATTGCTCTGTTTTTATTTCAACAGTTATTTTCTAGCCAGTTTGAATGGTTGTACTAAGTGTATTGCTCATTTCTCATCTTTGGGATCTTTTTTCTTTTTGTCTTTTAAGAATATTGCCCAGCACTTGTGGCAACATGGATGAGCCTGGAGAACATTATGTTAATGAAAGAAGCCAGGCACAGAAAGACAAGTGCATGTTCTCACTCATATGTAGAGACTGAAAAGTTGATTTCTCTGAAGTAGAGAGTAGAATGGGGATGACTAGAAGCTGGGAAGGGACAGCTGGTCAGTAGGGAGGGGTTGCAAAAATACAGTTAGAAGGAATAAATTCTAATGTTCTGTAACATAGCAAGGGAACTGTAGTTGACAGTAACTCATTGTATGTCTTAATATAGCCATAAGAGAGGACTTTGTTGCCAACACAATAAATGGTTGATCATTACACATTGTACTCACATCCAGATATCATGCTATACCCCGTAAATATGCACAGTTATGATATGTCAATTAAAAGTAAAAATTGTGGGGCCAGTAGGTAGAGTGGAGGTTAAGACACTGGATCCCACATGGCCAGCTGCATAGTTTGAGACCCAGACCTGGCGGCTTGGAAATCGTGTCAGGCGCATGTGCATGTGTGCCCAAAATCCCAAGAGGAGACTGAAGGAAAAGGGATTGTGGTGTGGCCATCCCCCCTGAGTTCTCACAGTCTCTCTGTCATTCTCTGGCAAATGCACATACCCTATAACAAAAACTTTCAAGAAAGTAAAAATTGGGCTAGCCCTGTGGCCTAGTGGTGAAAGGAGCCAGATCCCACCATGGCTGACTGCAGTTTGAATTCTGGCCCCTGTGGCTCAAAAAACATGTCAGGGGCTTGAAAACACTTCAGGTGTGTGCGCACATGTGCTCCAAATCCTGACAAGTTGGGAAAATGGAGGAGAAGGGATTGTAGTGTGACTATGCCTCACTGAGGAGTGCTTTCTCCCTCCCTCTCCCTCCCCCTCTGTTTCTCCATGGCAAGTGCATGCACCCACTGGGAATTAAAGTAAAAAAAGAAACATTTATGGAAATATGTGGTGTAGTGGTAAGGTAACTGGACCCACATGGGAAAGATCACGTCTAGGGACCTCTGTGAGCATGCTGGGGCTAGGTGGACATGCCTGCATTTTCGTGATTTATGTCGGTGGGGAGAGGATGGATCTAGGTGTGAGGACCCTTTAAGGGGTACCTGTCTCTCTTCATTCTCTCTCTCTCATAGAAGAAATAAATAAACTTTAAAAAATAAATAAATAGGGACCAGCAGATGGCATAATAGTTATGTTGCTGGACTCCCATGTAGTCGACCATGGTTCGAGTCTCAGACCCTTCAACTTGAAACATGTTGGGTGCATGTGTGTGCATGCCCAGAATCCCAAGAGGAGAATGGAGAAGGGCCTGAAGTGTGGCCATCTCCCAGGGGGTGATTTTTTGCTTTCTGTCTCTCTCTGTTGAGCACATGCTCTCTATAGCAAAAATCCCTCTAAACAAATAAAAAATAAAAATTTTAAAAACTTGTACTTTATGATCCTGGAACATT